AAAAAAAAAAAAAAAAAAAAAAAAAAAAAAAAAAAAAAAAAAAAAAAAAAAAAAAAAAAAAAACACAGCAAAATCATTTAAAAACTAAACGCATAACCATTTTAAAAATGGGGCACACAGGAACCTGATGGATGAATTAAACTTACTGAGAGCAATGAGTGAAGAACAGGATGAAATGCCCCGATCACAGAAAACCCTAACTGGATCTTCGAATAGTATAATCGCGCTATTCCTTTCAATTGCAAGAATCGTAGCAAGACCCAAAACCGATGTCGGGAGAAAGGTACGGATTTGAGAGTTTCCAGATGGAAGTCACGTTCTCTCTCCTTCTTCCTCTTCCTCTATCTTTTTTTTTTCCGTTAATTTTCCAAATCAAATAAAATTTAGAATCTTTCTTTATTTTGTTTCCAGATTTATAAACAATAAAGATTCCATGAAAGAATCTTCCATTCGGCAAAGGGCAACTGGGTCCCACAGATACTTTAGAGACGTGGCATGCTTACATTCGTCAATGGGACCTCTGATATTGACACGTGGGACTCACTTCTCTCGTGTGAATTCCGCGGTGACTCAGCGTTCTCGGATTCAACCCTCACTACGCCGTTTCAAAAAAGGTCGATCCTTTTCATACGCCTTTTTATCTCATTTTAATATAAATCAATATTCTCAAATCATTATTAAATTTTTTAAAAAAGCGTTAATTATAATTTTAAATGATTCGTCAATTCATAAGCCAGCATGCCTATTACTTTCGATGGTCAGATATTGAATCCTAATTAAACTAAAAAAATAATCATTTTTATATATTTTTCAGAAGCATTATAAATATAATTTTAAATGATGTCAACTAATTAATTAAACTAAAACAAACAACAAATTAAAGGAATGAAAAAAAGAGACATTTCACTTTAATTGTCATTAATTAATTTTCACCCATTTTTGTTGGCATTAAAATGAAATTAAAAATATGTGGTATTAAAGCTAATTCAACTAATTAAAATAAAAAAATTAAATCTTGAAAAAGAAAAAGAAATAAATAATTTCACTTTCATTCTTTATTAAATATTTACCCATTTTTGTCGGCATTAATTATTTTTTCTTTCTTCCTTTCTTTTTGGTTTTCTTTTTCTTTTTGTTGGCATTAATTAAAGATAAGATATAGATTTGACTTTCGTGACTTTCCTTTTCACAATATCTCAGTTTGTACTGAAAAACAATAATTTTTTTTTTCTTTTATGAATTCATTCCGATACCTATGAACTTGGATTAGTCAAATCAAACTCTAAGAAAATCTTAGATTAGTTTCTCTATAATTTTAATTGGAATAAAGGACACGTTTCTCTAGCCTTATCTTCAAAATTCAAAAAAATAAAAATAGAAAATTGCTACATGTCATCCCTTTCTCTTAAGATCTCAACCATCATCCACAAGAATTCAGGTGATTTGGCCCATAAAAAAGATGATGAATTCATGCCAGACGATAATAATCTCTATCTCAAAAGAAGAGTCAATTACTACTTAATTATAATGGCTCCTCTTGCTTTCATGCTAAGAAATAAAATCTCATAGATCGAGAGATAATTTACCTTACCTAGAGATATACATTAATCTAAAACAGTAGATTCAGGAGCTGAAATATTAGGATACAGCCACAAAACCCCAAAGCTACTAAATGGGTTCTCATCAAGTCAACCTACCTAAATCTTTTTTGCTTCTTCAAAAATTGGCCATCATGTTCATTCATCCAAGATAATTACAAAACGAATCTAAAAAGTAGAATATGTTGATTAGAAACAAAGAGTAACCGATGCTGTAAGCTTATGATTTACAAAATAAAACAGGAAACTGATATTATATAACTCAATCTCTTCTCCAGCAAGCAAGCAAACAAACAAACAAACAAACAAATCAAATAAAACAATCCTTTCAAAAAAGACCCTTTTTGACCAAAGAATTAGAACTATGAAATCTCATTTAAGTTAAAAATTTTGATCTCAGTTATCAAAGGGATTCCTGAAAGATATGATTCGTTTAGGAAAAAGCCAAATGCTAATTTGGTATCTCAATTTACCAAATAGATGAGATTATTGGAAGAATGACAATCAAATAACAGCAGCAGTTACTGCTTATTCCAAAGAAGAATAAAAACATTTATTGGGAAAGAATCTTATAGATCCTAGAGGAATTAACTTCCTTCATGCCAACCGACCTTCTAGGAACTCAAATATCATTTTCCTAGCTATCTATATATTCAAGGAAAATTCTTGAAATCAAAGACAAACAGAGATAAGCCCTTTGAATCACTAGGAAGCACAGAAGGAAGCGGTACCTTTGAAACCTCCCGTGGAAAACCACAATGCCCCTGAGCAGACCGGGATACTTGAACCAAACGGATCATGACAACACAACAAATATGATGATTCGGGCAGAATTAAAATAAACACTTAATAAAAATTTTATTACTTCAGCTAAAATACTGATAGAGGATTTACAATTTTTACATGTAACGGCCAAATAATCTGTAAATTGAAATATCAGCAAACTAACTTCGAGCCCAACTTTGTGCCTCCACATCTAACACTCATTTTCTTTTTCTTTCTTTTCCTAAATAAGAAAGGCTAAAGCTTAAATCATGAATAAAAACCCATACTACAAGTACAATTTATACCCGGGTTTAGGGATGCATGGAGACTTCTGGAAAACAACTGCAATTCTTCTGCCCTCCCATTTGCAGGAAAAAATAAAAGTAGAAGACAGAGCATTGCAATTGCTTTTGTACATTAAGAGTGAAGGGACCTATTTATATTACTCAAAATGGCATTGATGACCTAACTTTCACATATCTAACAGCCTCAATTGATTTCAAGGAGATAACTTAGAAATCATTTCTCTCTGATATTCCCATTTGTATGGTTCTATTTGTGAAGCATATCGACTTAAGTTGAAATAAAATGGACCAGAGACGCATTGGGGATGTAGAGATAATTGGCCGACGTTAACAAAATCAATCAATTAATAATTAAAGTGAGAGACATTGTACCCTGTCAGGAAGATTTCTAGGAATGGGAAGTGCAGTAACATATCTCTGGGGGCAAGATTTCTGAGTACTTGTGGTCACATCAGAGGATGATGAGGCCTCACCCCCATCAACTTGTCCTCGGCTATGAAACTTGGCAAACCGATTGATGACAGAGAACTTTTCAAGATCCTGGCATTCCACTCTCAAATCTAAGATTGAAGCTCTCTTCTCCACTCTGGAATAGCAAAAGCAGCTAATTACTAACTTTAACCAAAACTCACCAAATAGACAACCAAATTAGTCAGTAAACGAACTAATAGCAGCACAGCAGACACCAAAAGATGAAAGAAAGTACGATTGAAAAGCTAAAACAATACAAGATTACCACCATAAAGTCAAATCCACTGAAGAGGAAAAAATATCAAATCCAATGAAAGAAGCTACCTCAATAAATCATCTTCCATCTTCTGTGCTCGTTTCATGAACGCCTCCACAACTTCTATAATTTGATGATCACCAGTTTTACCAGTTACTTTAAGTCCCTCAGAAAGGCTAAAAGGCATATACGAAAATCCATTGTATTAGTATAAATAAATAATGGAAACAATGTACAACCTATCGTCCTTGCATGGACATTCAAAATTTCAAGATTATAGAGGAAAATTCTTACGGATTTCCGCTTTCTGGATGCAAGGCAATATCAGCTCCTGTGGAAGAAACTATATTACAAGCATCCCCCAAAGCTAGCCTTGCAACAAGGTAAGCCGCACTCTCATAATGTAAGCTGGCATCTGAAGAGAGAGTTGTAAAAGGAGGAGGACGGAGGAGTTGTTGAACAAGCAGCGTAGTCAAGTTAAGCCTCCTCTTCAGTTTTATCATTAGTCCATCATCCATCATTTCAACTTCATCTTCTTTCTGTCGAAGGGTTTAAAGCAATAAGAGCCATTTTTAATAGAATAAGAACTCTGGAATAACAAACATCTTCTACTCAAGAACTAAGTTAACAATTAGCATACCTTCTCAATCAGCCGGTTGGTTGCCTGAGCCCAATCAACATCCGCCATGCTGCAGACAGAAATCAACAGTCGGCATACATAAGAACAAGAATTTAAAAAATGATAAATAGATAAGTTGAGCAATATTCTATATCCATGAAGTCGACCTTACACAAGTTAAATTTTCGTACAGGATGGAGAATGTATATAACGAGAACCAATTTTATAAAACAAAAATGGATCGCTGTTTTGAAAATACAGGACATAGATAGATGTAAATCAGCAAAAGAAACAAAAGGTGAAACAAACACGCCAGAAAACATCATTTCAAATTCTCAAAGCATTCCAACCCTAAACTCTTATCAATCAAAGACACTAATAAAATCTTGTGCAAAGGTGCAAGGAACCCTTTTTTAGTCAGTTCGCAGTACATTTCTGGTCCAACCTTTTCTATATATTTCTTTCCTTTAATTGTATTATTCTGAGGGAAGGAGAACAACCTTATATCCTGCAGTCTTCTACAACTTTGAGTCATTTCTTCGTTCCATGGAAACAGTTCAGGTGCAGAGCTTTTGCGCTTTTTGAGTCTTACAGCAGCCAAACTTTGATTGATGAAATCAAGTGGCAATTGTTGACCTAAAGAGAAATTTCTGTGTTCTATCGACACGAGAGTTGAACTTTCCCGTTCACTATTGTGCTCACTACCATCAGCAGAAGCATTTCCTTGCTTCACAGGATTTTGAGCATTGAAGCCATCAGGAGGCTTTTCAACAATCAAAGATTGATCCAAAGGCTTCATGGCTGCATTGTTGGATCCAGGAAATACGGATGAAGTATGTCTATTTTTAAAAGTTCCATATTGATCAAACCAAGATGGAGCCATCTGAGGACTGATTTGAGAATGCTCGCTCCTCACACAAGATGCAATGTCAATAGTAGATGATACAGAGGCATCCCCCTTCTTTGATGAAAAATCTACCGCTGCTGCATCTACACATGAAATGGAAGCATGGTTAAGTAATGACTCTCTGACAACATTACTGTGTTCATGTGATAAAAGTTGACCCCCATCCATGGCAACATGCTGAGAATCTAAACCACAATCTGGACCTTTAAATCTCTTCCCATTCCTGTTAGTTGGGTCATTATCAGCACTTTTCATGGCCTGCGTTTGATGCATTAAGGGGTAATTCTGCTGCGAACTAATATTTGGATGTAGAGAATAACCTGAAGTGTCAATATTAACTCGAGTAGCCATAGAATTTGATGGAGATACACTTAATGAGTGATGCCCAGCAGATTCCAGTCCACCTGATGCACTTGTAGCCAGCGGGGAAATTTCACTCTTCCCACCTGAAACTTGTTTTCCAGGGCTTTCTTGCATTTGCTTTTCTCTTCCAATAATATTTTGCATATTGATGGAATTTTCACCAGGGGCCAAAGCCTCATGTTCCAATTTCTCTCGAGTACCCATGTTTTTTAGTCCTGAAAAACTCTTGTCTAAATTGTCCATATGCATATGAGATTTGAACAAAACTGAGGCAGCTTTTGAAGGATCCATGTGTAGCGAGTGTTTCTGGGTTGTGAGATTTGCCCACTCATTAGGAGGGATTTTTGAGAAAGCGGCCCGCTGGGATATAGGCACAGAACCCAATTCCTGGGCAAGCTGGGGGGGATTTTGTGCATTAGATACAACACCACTGCTTTGCTGAGATGTGTCAGCAGAAGAAACTAGGTTCATTTGGAGACCACTTTTGGAAATATCTGTTGACACCATTTGACTATTTTCTACTCGCTCAGAAGAGTCTTCAAAATTTCTTGAATGAATACCAATTTTATCTGAAAACACACTAGCAGAGTGATTGGCAATAAGGTGCTGATTTTGAAGATGACTTCTAGGATAAGGAAAGGCAGATTGAGAACCTGCAACCAAGTTTCCTTGAGCATTGATATGAGGGATTTTATTGCCACTATGTCCAGAAGAACCGGTTATATTATTTCTCAAATCCCTCTGGTTAGAGGCTACAGGAGGCAACAACATATGACCACGTTCTCCTGTATCAGAGCTAGAATGGGTTGAACTCATAACCATAGGCGAGGAACAATGAGAAGATAACGCAGCATCCTGCATGGCCAACCGTTGAGGGAGACCCAGTTGCAAACCAAAAACTTGAGAATCAGAGGACTGATTTCGTGGCGTTTGACCAACTGATCCATCAGAAGTTTCTGCTTCACCCATTTCAGAAGAATGATTTCGGTAAGAGGGACTATGTGTTGCATTACCATGTTCTCTTGGTTGATCCACTTTGTGAAGAAGCTCAAGCATATTTTGGCTGTGCAAATAAATAATGAGAAGGGATTTTGCTTAAATTATTATTCAAATTGAAATATATAATCCAGAAACACATGTGCATGGACACACACTGATGTGACAATTCAGAAATCAGATTAAAAAAACCAAATAAAAGATGGGAAAAAGAACGTATCATATTCTAAACTAGAATACACAAAATTAAGGGGAACCTCCTTTGAACAGAAAATTTGGTAATAATCGCTATAAATTGATTGAATCAATTAAATTGTCAGGATCCATTTTTAAGTCAATAGTTGGCAAAATACTGTTCAAATTATGCATGTCTCCTTTGTGTCTTTTTAAAATAAGAAATCCGACTCTCATTAACCAATCACAAGTATATATTGGTAAAAAAAGGAAGGCAATGTATCTACCCTAACCGAGCCAAGAAGATCACCCAAAGAAAACCCTCCAATTAGCATAAACCAAAGATGAATAGTAGTTATAAGGTTAAAAATCCTATTTTAGACTCAACTTTTCATTATATTTTGACCCTAAAAATTTCTATTTAGTTCCAAACCTGGCATAAAAAACCACTCTCATAGTTGTTAATTTTAATTAACTTTTTAACAGAAATCAAAACCAAGGGTGATCAAATGTATTCTGCAAATAAATATTCGAAGACATATGCAGTAGGTCAAGTGCTAGGTTCCTAAATGGCTTTAAAATTTAGTAAAATGATCGTTCAAAAAATTAATTGCAATTCCTAAAATAAATATTAGTTGAAAGTTCAGAATTGGCAGTAACATCAAGCAAAAATTGCACAAATGATCGTAATATCTATATTCAATTTTTTTTCTTTTTTCTTTTTTTTGAATAAAAGAGTGTAGTTAGTTCTTGGATTTTTGTTGTGCTGGGCTTGTTTTATCCCTTGTAAATTCTATTATTTCTCTGAAAGCTTGGTTTCTTATAAAAAAAAATTTAATCAAGAGTTGCATAAATGGTATTAACATCAATCATTAATTGCATAAATGACAATAAACCATTGTTCAAGTGTCAGACTACCTTGACGGCAAGGCCACATGTCGCGGATCATGACCAGCAAGTTTATCTGAAGAAGAAGAAAAACGAGATCCAAAAGGTGGAAGCATTCTTTTAGAAGATAGATCCCCAAAGGCTCTCATTTCACTCTGAAAACAAGCTTAAGCCTCCATTAATAATGGAAATTTTGAATGGATTATCAAAATTAGAAATATATGAAAGAACTAGATTATAAAAATTGACGTTACTGCAAAATAAATCTGAATCACCTTTTCAACTTCACTCGAATTTCCCTCTGCTCCAGATTTGGATTGCCTAAAATAACTCAGCTCACTGGCTTTAAATCCGTGAGAGCTCTGCTGCACAGTAGCCTGTGTCTGTGTTGGATGGCTTGTTCCAAAAGAAGGTAACACATCCATGTCTAAATTCCCCATTGGATGATACTGAAATCTGCGAGGAGTTACAGATGGCTTTCGAATGATATTACCTCCTGCTTTCTGTTTGCTTCCAGAAGTGTGTGTATCACTAGCATTTGAGTTTTCAAACTCATGTATTTCATTCACACTCTTATCTAAGCAATTATTCCCAGGTGATTCCAATATTTGAGAGCCCTTATCGAGATGCTGCTGGTATTTTGCCACAAAACCGCTTTCTTTTAAGTCCACTAAAGAATTAGCATCTTTCCAAAAGGAAAGGTTACGATTATTTATGAAGTTAGTACCTTCATTATACACCTGCGAGTTCTCAACAGCATGATTAGCATGCTGCAATTCATCAGTTGGGTTAGGAATTGATTCATGGTTCTGCTTGAAAGTAGCAGCAGAACCCATCTCTTCACATATAGATCGCTTATGATCTCCATCCTGAGCAGATTGTGACATGCTATGACTCTCATGATTTTTCATACTGCTACCCCCATGGGAGAACATCGGTTCATTATAGCTCCAACCATTAGGCTTACATGTTTGGCTACTATAAGAGGATACACTTTGTTGACGGAGCCAAGAACCTGACGTATGATCTGCATTTATTTCCACACCTGATGTATTGCCTTCGTTTTCAGATATATTCCGACCTTCAGCAAATGACTTCTGTTGCAGGTTACGGTCAATCCATTTTCTTTCCCCATCTGGATGAGTTGAACCTTGGGCAATACTGTTCTGAAAGCCTTCAGTTTGTTGAAAGAACGATTTATGACCTGGTTGCTGAAATCCAGGGACGCTGGCTGAGTTAATATAATTGTTGGGCCTATTATTAGCCTCGGCAGAGACAGAAGAATGTCTAGAATTCAATGTCTGCAAGTTGTTATCAACCCAAACAGATTGCAGTTTTCCACTGCCGTTAGCATCTAATTGCTGCTGATTCCCATTTTGAGGCCCGCTATTATTGAAGTTCACACCACCCCACCCTTCTTGAATGTTCATATCCCCACTTGAAGTTTCTGCCACGGCTGACTGCATCAAAGCACTCCAACTTCCACTCTGTAAAAAGGAATATCCAGAACTAAAATCACTACCATCTGGCGCATTGAAACCACCTGCTGTAATATTATCACTCCGCCCAAAAGCATCCCACAAGTTGTCATCTGAACCATACAAAATCTTCTCTTCAGTGGGGTCTAACGTAGCCACATTTTGTGGTGGAGCAACCTGTGCCATTGTCTTCTCCTGTGACACTTCTGATGGCCTATCGAACTCTTGTCCACTACTAAATTCCTGCATAGATGCATTTCTCTGTTGGAGATTCACATGCTGAAGGTTTTCAGAATTTAACCCACCATTTAAACCTTGACTAGCAGGCATGCCAAACATACTTTTCCCCTGGAAATCCTGTCTTACAACCATTCCATCTTGCATGCTAACCTGATCTGGGTATGCAGTATAATGGCTCCCTGAAATGGAGTTGTTACCGACAGCTAACTGCTGCATAGCAGGTTTATCTGATGGAATGAGAGAGTTTGAACCAAGAAAACTACTTGCAGTAGAAATAGGAATCCCATACAAAGACTGGTCAACTTGTTCAGGAAATAAACCGCGCAGTGATTGTTGCTGCTCGGAAGGAAATACAAATCCACTAGAGGACCCCTGCATTGCTGTAGACAAACTATGGTGCAATGAGTTTGTATTGCTCCCCATATTCTCAGGCTGCCAAGGAGAGGTAGATAACTCATTAACAGGAATACCATCAATCAGCGTGGCTGAATGGTTTCCTGCTACCAGCTTTGAGTTAGATGAGGTCTGATTCATCGAACCATGTTGTCTTGCATCCTGCTGCTGAAATTGGCGTTGCCTCTGAAGTTCTTGTATATGTGACAATATTGCTTGCTGTTGCAGAAGCTGCATGTCAGGATTCCCAGTTTGCGGCTTAGGAAAAATCTGGGTGACACTGGGATTTCTGCCGCTCATTTGCTGTTGACCTCCAAAAAAATCAAAATTTACAGGAGAATCAGTAGTTTCCAACCCAGCTACATTTTTCTTGCTTAGTTCAGGATTATTCACTTGTGCTTCATGAATAGATAGGCCTCTCGATATTATATGCCTATCAGATACTGCATCTGAACCAAAAAAGTTTGCTTCAACCTGTCTTGCATGGAAAAGTTGTTGGCCTGCTGCATAACCGTTCAGAGTTTGATGTTGATTTTGAGATTCACTTCTTCCAATCTCAGGACTTATATATGATTGAGAGAAATTAAAGCCATTAAGTGTGTGAGAAGGCTGGCCCAGTCCTACGGAATCTGCTAGGGAAAATATAAGCAAAATATAGTAGATGCTATATAATACAAGGAATAACAATGATCCATTATTCACACACAAAAATTAATTCACTAAGAAACTATAAAGTAATACCTGGTTGATGTGCATTATAATTCTTCAAATTTGAAATAAAAGGAGAAGTGATCTCTCTCTGGTTTCTAACCCATAGGTTGTTATTCAGACCAGCCCAGCCTTCATCAGCCGCCTGAGACTGATGCTGGCCCTGGTACAAATTCTCTTGGCCAAAGAAATTGTGGACCCTGTCTCCAACTTCGTTTCCAGGCATAGATGGTCAACCCCACTGTTCGTCTGATAATGACTTTTGGTGTGAATATAGATACCTAAAAGAGAAGTAAAAGTTATGAGCTATTGAATATACATGCCTCCTACATTGATCACACGTGGAAATTTCTCGTGTACAGTTGTTGTTAGAAACGTACCCTCTCTTGGTCATTTAAGATTTCTCAGAATTGTCATAAGATGGAATCCCTTAAATGTATCCTGCATATAGCCACTCCATTATGTCATACTAAATTGAAAATAGATTTCAAAGACATGGAAACTAGCAAGTAGTTACAACTTAAAGATAGATAATTAGCCATCATTGCCTACTCAAGGAAGATGGGCACTTGGTAATAATTACACCTTCCCAAACCACCCCCTCCCCACCCCCACCTTCGAAAAAGAAATCATGTTTTTCAACTTTGTATTTTTTCCAACACAACAAATATTCCTACCAAAACAACGTAAATAAATATGAGTGAGTAGTTAATCTCTAAGAAGTACAAAATTAGATAATAGCCATGTACTATCCATTTCAGTTATATCACTTGAAACCATTTTTTTAATGATGGAACATCTTACATCAAGTATAATGAAGACAATAGAAAGGGCCCCAAAAATAAGGGCCAAACGAATAATCAGGCCATAAAATGAAAATCAGACACTATACAAACAGTCTAAAGAGAGGACCCAATCATTTGTAATAAAATCTCATAAGTTTGAGATCATTGACTTAGATATTTTCATAAACCTTCTACATGTTTAAAATAGAAGCTGTAAATTATGCTATTTTTTCAATCTAGCAACAACAAGTGTTGTCCATGTTGACACATCATTTACGATCAGAATATACTTTATACCTCGACCAGACAGAAAACCACCCGAAGGCAACAGAACTCCCATACTTCGTTTCCCTTGTCCTTTCCCATCCTGGAGTTTTATACATATCTTCTTTGGCCCTGGTAAGGCTTCATATCTGAGAAAGAAAGGCTCTAAACCTCCCAAGAATAAGAACCTACAAGTTCAATTTTAGATTCCACTTAAAAGTCACATTTTAACCATGTAAACCAACCTGAATTTTGCATTTAAATTTCTTCTATCTTTCCAGTTTCTGGTCTCCATCCTTTCCAATTGCTGTTCCTAGACTAACATGGATCTAGATGTTACTCTCAGTCATTCCAAGTGTTTGGACATTTAGAATATTTTATTTATCTATTTAATGAGGCAGAGAGAGCATCCTTTTTCTTCTTGGCTACTAGAGTATGGAATTCCTAGAAAATGACAATTTGTCGTTCAGCATCAATAATAGGCTATGAGATGTAAATTGGTTGTTTTCCTTGTTTAAACAAAAACAAGAACAAAGGGTACTACAAAACCTCATGAAAAACACCAAACCCAACTTAAAGGTAACACCAATACAGAATGGAAATGAAAATGGAAAGAAGTCTAGCCACCCAACCGACCACTTTGAAGTATAATTTCTAACATCATTATAACTTAAATCCATAAAGTGCAATTGAGATGCTTGGTTACTAATTGTAGCCTCATAAACCATGCAGTGAGCCACGTGAAATGAAAGTTACAACATTGCGCAGGGTCTCAAATCCAAAGATGTACGGGAGCAATATGAAAATTGACCTGCTACAGCAAGTCATTTTCATACTAGCAAAAACAAGGAAAAAGGAACCATAAAATTAACAATGTCCTGGGAATATAACAATATTTGCCATTTTCTTGAATACAAGTATTTCCAAGAGGCATAATATAAACATGACTGCATATATTCTCAATAGATGTTCGGTAGACTTCATATATCACAAAATACAGGGCGCCTATCCAATAAAAGAACCAGTGAAAGAACGTTGGGGTAAAGAGTGGTTGCTAGTGCCCTTTCTTGTAGTAATTATGGACCGCAAAGAAAAGATTACGACGATGCATTGCAAAAAGATTCTTCCCCAGATCCTAGAAAAGCTTACCAAACACGTGATAAGAAAAAAAATGCGAAAATGGGGTGGGGATCGAGGGACACCATGTTGCGCTGACACAGGCAACAACATTGGACTCGTCTGAAAAACTCTATTGTTGATAAAGGGAAGTAAAAGACACCATAAACACAATCAATCCCATCTTACCTCCTCCATTTTTCGGACAACCAAACATGAAAGGAACCCACAAATTTCTCCAGATTAACCCAAGGAGGAGGGGTAAAACCATAGTAGGAGCTGTAACAAGCTGCCCGACACCAAGACGCCACCACTAAAGCATCTATTTACTATTTTCCCAAAGAAATGTCCCGCGGAAAAGGCAAAAATTAGGGTTTTTATATCTAAAGAAGGATGCAACGAACTCACACTGATTTGATGAGCTTGCGTATACACTTGAAGGCGATCCCCTCTGATAATGCTGGAGTGTGGAGTGTTAGGGTTTGAATCAGAGAGAGATGTGACTATATGAGCCTCCCCGAGCTCAGAGAGAGAGAGAGATGGAGAGAGATAAAGTGATCGAACGAGTGCGAAAATTTCAACGAACTGGGTCACAGAACTGAGGTTCGGACCGAGCCTCAGATTCGGGATGGATATAGTTGATTTGGGTCCGAATCTGAGCCCCGATTACCACTGGACTCAGAATCCATGTTTTTCTCCCTCCCAATAATGAGTTTTTACACGTGACTTTCAATATGATATTCTTCCCAATTATTTTTGCCGTGTAAAATGCTTTCCCGCCTTCAAAATAAAGATCATTGGGCTGGTCCGATTAATAAGGCCCAAGCCCAATTAAATCTAAACTGTTTCTGGATCACCTGAGACGACCGGAGCCCAACTCGTAGGATTCCGTCATAAGGTTCGCATCGGCCCATTACGTATCCGCGGCCCATTATGTTTTGGGTCAACAGCTCAATTTAAATAGTCAACGATTTTTTTTTAGTACAAATTATTTAACTATTTAATTATATTATATCAAATTATCTAAGTAATTAAATAATAAAACATGAAATTAATTAAATAATTAATTTTCACTAAAATGTTCAATTTATACGGTTGATTAAAAAATTATTAAACCCATAATTAAGATAATTTGCTTCTCATATCATCAAATTATCTTGAGTTAATTGATTTTTGAAAGAAAATTATCTGTTATTAGATAATGTAATTTAGAATTTAAATATTATATCACGATATTAATAATAATAATAATAATAATAATAATGGATATTTTGGTTTGGTACGTCCCTAAGCCGAAGCGCGAAGGGCACTATTAGTGCGGGAAGCCGTGCCCAAAATCTAATGGTTAAAACCTAAAAGAAGAGGAACAGAGAAGGTTGAAAGAAAATAAAGGAAGAAGAAGAACAGAGAAGAAGAGGAAAAGCCAGATCCCAGTGGCCATCCCTTGTAACGACGGGCCCTTCCACCCATTCGGATTTGCAGTTTTTGGTCTTCCTTGCCTACAGAATCGCTATCAGGCACACGCAGACGACGATCACGCGGCGACATGGGGGAGGAGAAGCGGCACCAGATGATGCAGAATCTCTTTGGAGATCAATCTGAGGAGGAAGAAGAGATTGATTCTGAGCATGAGTCTAATCCGCAACCCAATTATGCCTCTGTACTTTCTTCTATCTATGTCTTTGTTGCTTTACGCCCATACTCGGACTTTCGTTTGATAGATATGGAAGGGTAGAAATTGCTGTGTTTGTTTAGTTGTTAATTATTTGTAGGTACAATCAGCCATTATTAGGGAACGTTTATGGGAATTAGTAGATATGTCGTCGTTAATTTGCGAGGGAACGGGATTACTAGGAAACGCTTATCATGGGCACTGAGTGCTCTTTGGAAATTGATTTTGCTGGGGTATGCTGGTTTGATGTTGTTGTTCTTGCTTGGTTTTACAGGATGAAGGGGAAGGAGAGGCGGAGCCTGAAGGTGAAGGTGAAGTGGAGGGGCATGGGGAGGTGGAAATGGAGAGTGAAGGTGAGTTGCAGGATGTTGATCCGGATCCTGGAGAAAGTGAGGGTGAAAGGGATCAAAGTTCTCCAGAAGTGGGTGTGGATCACCGTAGAGAAGAAGAAAGTGAAGGGAAAGAGGTGGATAGCGACGATAGGGAAGAATATGGTCAAAGAGTGGTAACAAGCAGGAGGCATGATTTAGTTGGAAGTGAATCCGAGAGGTCGGAAGAAAACCATTATATTGACAACGAAGACGAAGAGGTGGATCAAACTAGGAGTCCAAGGTAATGGGAGTTGTATTTACCCCCTCCCCTCTTCTCTTTTCATTCCTGTAACTCCCAACCTTTTGTATTATTTTCTAGAATTCTAGCCTCATTGTAACTTCTCATTGGCACCGTTTGCATACAGCAGCTCTTTCGTATTTTTGTTCTCTAAACTTCCTATCATATTATTCTTTCCTCTTACTTTGTCTCCGATATGAAACCAAATGGAAGAGGTGGGAACAACTTGCAACAAAGAAATTCATATGCAATCACTTGATTTGGTTATTATTGGAGGAATATTGTAATTACAAGACGAGGAGCCATCCCAAGTTTCCTCCCGCCCTCCAACCCAGCTTTCTTTAATTTGGCGGGTTTTTTTTTTTTTTTTTAAAGGGATGCTACAAAGCATTTTTTGTTTTCTTTTTTAAAGGGATGCTACAAAGCAGCTGCTTCATAGATATGAAAGATCACAACTAGAAGTTGTATCATATTAAATACATCTAAGTTCTTTATTCATCAATGGACCTTAGCTACTTCTGCCAGCATTGTGAATTTGAATTTTGAACCATGACAGGGAGGAGAGGGATCACAGTTCACATCCAGTTGCTGAAATTCGCGATGTATTTGGTGACTCTGATGAGGAAGAGGAAGCAGAATATGCAGTTGAAAATGATATTAAGCAAGATTCAGCTGTGAGTAATAAATGTTCATTTTCAATGTTGAACGATCTCTGATTGCTGAAGCTGAATGACGCTTGTGGCATAAAGATCATAAAAAGTTGAGTATTTTTTCAGAGGTCACCTATGGAAGAGGAGGAGAGCTTTGAGAAGAGTCCAAGACGAGATGATATAATTCCTGATGAAGATGCTCGGTATGATTCAGATGCTCACTATGAATCAGAAGAGGAAAATTTTGAGGTAAAACATAAAGAGAAGCCAGTTGGGCCTCCATTGGAGCTAGAGATTCCATTACGTCCTCCTCCTGCTCGCCCTGAAAAGGTTCTCCCGTAAACTCTATTGCATTGATTTGTCATTTGATCAAATTTTATTTCATACCACCAAAGTACCAAATTTTGCTTGCTTATCTGATGTTAAGAGTGAAATGTCACATTGCATAAAATCTTATTTTAGGTTGATTATAGATCCTCTGCCTGTTTGTGTACTAGCAATTTAAGGATTTACTTTCATGATCGAGTTGTTGATAATATATAGCTATTTTTCAGATTGTAAAAGATGGATCATAGGAGAAATTTATGAGAATGCTTTAATTTGTATAGTTAGAAATTTTGTAGTCAATGGCAATGAAATATTATGTCCATTTTTTTCTGTGTGGGCATAAGCTTCCCTCCCCCCATCTATTTTTTCTTGTGCATTATTCAATTAGAAGAAGCGGAAAAGATTACCAATATTTTTATGTGATGTAAATGTGACGGCTTTTCAATCTGATTGCAGATGAACATGATAAAAGTTTCCAATATCATGGGCTTTGATCCAAAACCATTCGATCCCAAAACGTATGTGGAAGAGGATATATTTGTGGCAGATGAATCTGGAGCTAACAAACGCATACGCTTGGAAAATAACATCGTGCGCTGGAGGACTGTTAGGAAACCTGATGGCACAACAAGTGTACGTTTCCAGGATTTATGCCAGTTTGCTTGATGGATTAGCATTTTAATTATTGCTGGTAGTGCATAAAGAATGGTCTTATAGAAGGTTTTGTTGTATTGTCTTTTATTATTCTTTTACTCCAAGGTCATCTCAACTGTGGTGGGAGGAGTAAGAAAGGAAAGGAACAAGATGCGCACTCAGATTATATACATTTTCAGGCTTTCTAAAGTTTATTCTGCTTTAAATGTCAACTGAATTGTTTTTTTATTTTGTCTTTTCTTTAACACTACTTTGAGTTTTAACACTTTTTTTTTTCTGATTCGTAGTGTGAAAGCAATGCACGTTTTGTGAGGTGGTCAGATGGCAGTTTGCAACTGTTAATTGGGAATGAAGTGCTCGACATAAATGTGCAAGATGCAAAGCATGATCAAGCACACTTGTTTCTTCGGCATGGGAAGGTGATGCCTCAAAATTAATTAAAATTGAAAGTAGGATTTGTAGTTCTGTTACTTTATTTTTCTTGTTAAACTGCTTGATCTCAAGGCTCTATTTCTACTCATACCAATGTCTGGATTGGGTCTGAAAATCATCCTCAAGTATAGAGAATATTGCTGAATTTTGTATCTTCTTGTTACTTCAGTTTAGTGGTTTACTAAGGTAGTTTGTGTTTGACCTGCTTTGTACAATACATATTTAGGCATCATTGGAGGAGCTAACGTCCTGGTACTTTGATGTGATGTCTTGATAATATACATATCTGCTGCATAGAAATTTTACTATTTATGTTTTTGGGCTTAGGATGCCATTCTAGGGTGGTTGCTAATTTGTAAACGAACAAATAAAAGGTCTTATTTTTTCCTTCTCTAGCCGTGGAAATATACTTCATGTGATGATCATCTGTTTTGTACGTGCAGGGGATTCTGCAATCACAAGGTAGGCTTATGAGGAAGATGAGGTTCATTCCATCATCCCTGACATCAAATTCTCACCGCTTGTTAACTGCTTTGGTTGACTCACGACATAAGAAGGTGTATAAGGTCAAGAATTGTATAACGGACATTGATCCTGAAAGGGAAAAGGAGGAAAAAGAAAGGGTAAATGGTCTAATGGTGTTTGTAGCTCTGAATCATACATAAATCGTGGTGTTCACTTGTTGTACTGAATTTTACTGTTGTAGGCTGAAAGTCAAACAATCAGGGCAAATGTGCTTCTTAATCGGAAAAAGGAAAAGGTTAACAAGAAATACACCCCTGTCATTGATAGAAGACGTCAACTATCACCTGGGTTCTTGGAAGATGCCCTTGAGGAGGTATGCTGTTGTAATTTTCTTTCTCATTTTCTTCACGTTATCTAGTACTTTTGGGATTTGGGAATGTTTTCTTGTTCCAAGGTCTAAACTGGTTCTCGTAGTATATGTTGTCAACTTAGGGTATGTACTTTACGATTCAGGACTTGTAAATTAGGACTGCCGTCTGGTTTAAGGGTCACGAGTTGGAATCTTTTACTTCTCCATACAACTTTAATGATTTCCTTTCAGTTATAAAATTATTGGAAGCACATCTTTCAATTATTTTGCAAATTACTTGTTATTATCGGGTTGGGAGGAGGAGGTGGGGGTTCTAGGTTTCTTTTGAGGGTTGGTTTTATGTGAGGGACTATTTTAGTTTTGCATGGAGATAACTTGTGATATTTGTTCAGGAAGATGAAACAGATTATATTGATGCACGTC